TATATATATATATATATATATATATATATATATATATATATATATATTAAATGGTATAGGATGTAAGTTTGATGTAAAGGTGGCGTTCAGCAAGGATGGAAAGGTAAAAATAAAAAGGCATGTGTGTTTTTTCTACGTTTTCGAAAGGGCGAGAAAGGTCATCATAGGTAGATTGTGGCCGGCAATGCAATTACAGACCGATGCTTAATGGTATTGTGTTAAAATTTAATATATAGCAAAAATTTAGATTGAAATTAGGAATGAAAATCAATTTCTTAACTTTAACTAACATGTGTCACTAGCGTATGCGTGGGGCATAAACCAATTGAATCATTAACAAAGTATTCTTCCAATTGTATTTTATTGCTGTAGACATAAGTTTCTCTGAGACACTGTCAAAATTAGAATTAAAAAAAATCTTTTTATTGCGGTTTCACGCTACAACAAAAACTGATGTAAAAAAGTGTTTTTGCTCTCATCGGTGAACGGTGTTATTTCAAAATCGTGTAAAAAAGACCTTGTAAAAAAATGGCTGTATTTATTTCATTCTTGTAATTCATGTCAGCGTAGAGTACACCATCTCACTAAATAGGTTCAATATCTTATATATTTACTCCTACACATTAGCTTACTAACATCGTTTCATTGGGTCGATTACTTTTTTCATCCAATTTTGTTTTTTTTTTTTTTTTGGTTGTCATACTAGTTTCTTCTGGACTGTTTGGAAAAAAACTCATTACCAAAGCGAAAGGTTTTTTTTCTTTGAATTTTCAGGCGCTTAAAAAGCACTTCCTATGTCGAATGAAATATTCATAAGACAGAATAATGCATTTTTTTATTATTATATTTTTGTAATAATTTCGTAGCAAATTCGATATTTCAGAGCAATAGTCGCAGTAAAACTTTTTAACATCATAGGCGAGGCTGCTTTATCACGAAGACAACAAAAAAAAGTATTAGTGCTTGTCTTGTGAGTTGTGATGTCTCTGTGATGTTACTCAATATACGGCTGTTGATCTTAAATTCGTTTCGCTTAAGCGCGTTAAATTGCATATAAATATGTCAGCTTTATATATTTGTATGTGTGTACACATGGGAATGTCTGCCATCAAAAAGTAATCATGGAAACAAGATCACAGTTAGCAGAGGCATTCGCCAATCTCAATATTTTTTTTGTTAAATGCAATCAATTTTATTTAATTCTATTTATTATTTGTGTTAAGATTTCAAATTGGCATATGCTATATGCATGTATCTATAGCGCAAGTTGCTGATCAAAAAATTATGAAATTTGGAGAACTGTTTTTTTTTGCTTCATTTATGTGTTGTTTGTCTGTAGCAGAGACAATATTTTAGATATTTTTTTTTGTTTAATATATTGTAAAAAACTCACTCAAGTAATGGTAAACAATTTTTCGTCAGAGACCAATAATGTCTCTGTCGTATGTGGGATAACATAGCATAACAATATGATAATAAGGATCTTTTGAAGATAACTTAACAAACAATCAATTTACGAGAGTAAAGTGACTATGGTCCGAAGACCACACAGTTGGGTCCAAAACTAAAGAGAACCAAGTAAAAATGTTATTGTCGGCTACGGCCCACCATTAAATACCATACACCACTTCGCTTAAGACAGTAATACATAAAAACACTTCTTAAAATATATATATTCTGTTATATGAGAACTGGTCGAAAAAGGGGCCCCGTTCGAACCATTTTCAATAGTCTTCGTCCTTGGTCGGCTTACCAAATTTCATCAAAATATCTCAAGAATTGCGGTCTATAAGTTGATCATAAGAAAATAAGGACAGAGAAGCTTAGCGCGACTCAGAAAATGACAACGAAACGATCTGTATAGCGAAAGATATTTCTTGGTATTGCATACGTCAGCGCAAACGTAATATATCCTGTACCAGAAGTGGTGCAGTGTATAAAATTTATGTGCACTTATAGAACAGTACACGCGCTTTTGAATTAATACGATCAAGTCACAGCTTTGGAAATAGTTAATGAATCTAAATGGCCTTCATAAAAGAAAAATTCTAGATAGATTCTAGAGGACAGAAAGACTATAGATTTGTGCTTAGCGGGAGGATAGATCAATTATTCGAAGAACTTTGCAGAAAGTGCTAGAATGTAGGAAAATTAGAATTATGAGGGAAACTCTTTCTTGCAATTCTTCAGAAAAAATTGTCTTCGACTAGAGAATACAACTTTACTCGTATTTTGATTTTATTTTCAATCAGTTTCTCTACCGCGCACACTTTCAAATGAATTTTAAAGGTATAGGTTGAAAACGAACTGAAGCTATTCAAGAAATTAGTAAAGTAGATATGATTTAAACGTCTTACGAGTCTCAGCCGATTCAAATATGCTACGATATGTCTTTGATACCGCTTTTATGATGATATGGTGCTTCTGTAAAGAATTTACTCAAATACATATA